TGGCCCTACTGACTCAAACCCCCACAGATGAAATCACCTCAAATACTCTCAAAAGAAATACCAGCGAGGAACTGGCAAAGCCCAAAATAAAAAAAGGACACCAAAGTTCCATATAATCAAAGGACAAATAACTCTGCAAAATTCACAACACAATCAAACAGCAAGCTCAACAAGACAAAAGGCAAGAAGGGTTCCAAACACCCCACCAAAAAAGGTTGGGAAATGCAGTTTAAACCTAAAATGTTAGGTGCCTTGCAACATGACCTACCAAATGGAAACAATCAAGTCATGAAGCGATTGACCTACCAAATGGAAACAATCAAGTCATTCAGCGGCAAGGAAAAGGAAAGACAGATGAAGCGACTGCAGAAGAAGGAAACCAACCACATACTCTGGAAAAAGGGACGGAAGACAAAATGGCAGTAACAGAGAAGGGGGAAGCTTCTGCACCCAAAAAAGAGTCAAGTTATTGAACAGTCCTCAAAGATGCCATTGTCATATATACACCCTTCATTTAATAGCCACATGGAGTCGTCGTCAGGAAAGATGGTCAACAATGTAGTAGCAGATGACATTGGAAGGCAAATCCCAGTGCTGATACGAAATAGATATACAATAGCCAGGAAGGGAAGGAGAACACAGAGATCTTCACAATGCAAACCATTGTGTCAATAATCGAGCAAATGTGAAGTCAGACCGGCATCCTGTGGAGTTTAACCAGGCTAAGTACAAAGACCCAAACCAAACCCGCTCGGACTATAGAAGCACCGAGGACAGATGTACCTGGAACTTCACCTACTGACCAAACAGACGCTTTGTAGAGCCCGCAAGCAATTCAAATCCCCACGTCATAAAATCTAGCTGGACATCTGAGCCAACCCACTTGCTCAGTTCTGCAGTTTCACATCTACAGGCTACATCAGGGACACAAAAGAGAGCCCCAACCTCAAGGGCTGGTTACTGCAGTCCTACTGCACTGTTCAACTCATGATGGGTCACCGTACAACAATAATGGGGGAACCTATGGGCCAAAATCCTATTGCTGAGCGTAGTAAATTGCACTAGAGGTCACTGGGATGTGGTGTTTCAGCTCTTCCATAAGTCCCGTTCATTCAAATGGGTCTACTCTATCTGGGACTTATTTTAAAACAGCAAGTCACAATGACAGTAGACCTATTTGAATCCATGAAACCTATGGAGGAGCTGACTCACTAAATTCCTGTTGAATCAATGGGCCTACCCGAGAGCAATTTACAACACTAAGTAAGAGGAGCTTGGCCATTAAGTCACAAGTGCATTCTTTCTGGAAACCATATTCACATGAGTATTCACATCAAGTTGCCTGTTGCATGAGTCACAGTTATAAGTGTTTGGACACTAAATAACTGCACACATAGATATTTTCAAGCTTCTTTTTTGCTTCTTTTTCAGATAAGCTGACAGAATCTTTGGGCACAAACCTCAGTAGTGAATCGCCACAAATTAAGAAGTCAGCATGGTCATTTGCTATTACGCATCGGCCATGTGATTCAACACACAACTGCAAATATCTACACTGACTCCTGAACTTTTCAGTTGGGTTCCAGCCATTGTCTTTTACCAAACTCTTCATCACACTTCATCAGAGCTATTTGCATATAAGGAAGGTCTTCTCCACCTACTGCACTGATGCTCTGTATTCAATGATACTATTCTTTAATAAGCAATACTGATTGTGGATAAAGAAGGAACGGTTGCAGTTATTTTATCGACCATGATTCAGATAGAAACCATGCCAAACCAGTTTACAAGTCACATCAAAACACATGAATGAACTCTTCAAAAATATATATTTGCACATCAAAACTTACCAGGTGGTGACAGGTGGTCCAGGAGGAAGAGGGAGGGGAGTTTAGCTTGGCTCCCAGAGTTCGCACTTCTAGAGTTGTCCAAATGTTCTGCCTCCAGGGACTTCTTGTGGCGATCAGTGCTGAAGGACTGCATCATCAGCTTTGCCGAAAATGGATGCATAGCAGTCAATTCTTGAGGCTAGGCCTCTCCCGTCACCACCACATGTGAAGCGTGCGTAGGAAATGCTCCTGCAAAGGAGCTTTGTGGCATGACGGCCTTTTCTTCCCCAGGGAAAAATATCTGCTATTTCTGATTGCTACTGTTTCCACGTGAATTCTGACGTTCCCCATCACACCGTTCTAAAACCTATGCTCCTGATTAATTCACATGATGCACTAAAGGTGCAGTCTTAGGTATCCACCTTGCAAGGGCATGCATGCTATTGTCCTTTCCTTGCTCTGTAGCCAAATTGGGGCCAAAGAGAGTCAAAGGTTAAAAGCCTCCTGGCAGAAAACAGAGTACTTGAGATGGATACCGTCTCTGGAACGTGTCTTGGACTGCAAAATACAGCTGGCGGCAGGCCAGCCTGTGCCCGGCGAAAACTTCTTTGACATTTGCAGAATGCAGTTTGACGTCTGGAAGGAAGAGGAGCAAAAAGCAGCAATTGGGGATGTGGAACGAGCCAGCTGAGACCAGCCGGGGTTTGACTCACTGGAAGTCAAGATGGCACAACACCTTTCAATTCCGGAGGAAATGGGAAGCTTCCTTTTGTTTATTTGCTGGTTTGTTTTGTAAAGGCTGGGCATTATAAAATTATAAAAGAAAAAAATGGTCAGAGACTTCTGGCGGAGGAAAGAGCCATTCTTCATTCAAAGGAAGTGAATCAAGCATATGGAATAATAATAATAATAATAATGGAATGGTTCTAATTATTTCTGTATCTTTATTCTGTTGGCATGAACACTGAATGCCATCTCAACCTGTTTCCCCAGTTCTAATGGACTTTTAAAAAATTTCATAGAATCACAGAATAACGGACTTGGAAGGGGCCTCAAAGGCCATCCAGTCCAACCCCCCCTGGCTCCAGGCAGGAATCCAAGTCAAAGCAGAGCTGACAGACGGCTGTCCAATTTTCTCTTGAATGCCTCCAGCATTGGAGCCCTCACCACCTCCTGAGGTCCTCAGTTCCATTTCGTAGTGATCTAACAGTTAAGAAGTTTTTCCTGATCTTCAGCCTAAATCCGGCTTCATGTAGCTTGAGCTCATTATTACATGTCCAGTATTCTGGGATGATCAAGAACAGATCCCAATATGTACAGTATAGGGAAGTTGACAAAAAAATGTTGCATTATCTCTGATGTATACTTTCTTTAGAAGCCATGCAACTGACAATAATTCTTCTGGCCTCGCCGCTCACATGTTTTTATTTTTTCGATACCCAGATTTATCTAATAGGCTCTGATTTATAGAAGCTTATGCTGTAATAGATTTCTCCAGTCTTTCTCAGTTCCTCAAAACTTTTAGTTGCTTTTTCGTGTCTGATCGCAAACACCTTGACTTCCAAAAACTGGAAGGGCAGAAAGTGGAGTAAAAAGGAGAGACAAAATACAGTCGTTTTAGCAACAACCCACGCCTCAATTAAGGTGCTTCACGGTTTTTGTGGTGAACACCAACCCTGTGTGTTTTAAGACACAAGTATGTGTTTGTGCATCATCCTTATTGCACACATACCATTCATAGGTTTTCAAAGGCATGTTACGAATATAATCATCTTTTAAGGAGCAGTAAGCAAGGATTTAACATCCGAGGCATTAAAAACATTTTTTAATAAGAGATGGTGCACAGCATGTTGATGTAATAAGCAACCTATTTCATTAACACGTCTTCCACTCATCTGCGACTCTTTTAGCTGGATTTTCACTCCTGAGGCACTTTAAAAACTGGTTTTAATCGGATGTACGTTAGTGCTGACTCTGGCTTATAGACTTCCAAGCTGTGTGCACCATGCTTTTTTTCTTATGTCTTTTATCCGGATGTTTTTACAGGTTTTTCACTTATAACACGTGTGAATAATGTCCATGGCTTCCAAAGTCGTTGTGAAACACGTTAGCGAGGAAGCCTTTTTGAAATATAAATTTCCAAGAGAGGAGGAAGAGGGGGGGGGGAAAAAAGACCGACTTCCCTCGCATCAAATTTGCCTTTTTCTTTCCTCCCTCATTATTTTGGGCTTTGACGTGTGTTTGTTGCTATCCGAGCCACGGTTTGTGGGGACTCTTGAGGAAAGCCCCGACGCATCCCCCGAGAATTTCCAAGTACATTGCCTTTAATGCAGATACTGATTTAGGGAGGGCAAAAAGTTATACCAACGACTTCCTTTCCTGCTTTTTTGAGGCGTTTTGTACACCTCTCGCCTCAGCCCCGGTTTTGAAGCTTTTGAGGTTTAGTTCACACGCCGTTTTAACATTCTTTTTAAAGCAGCAGTGACTCTTTTTTCTTTTATAACGTAGGAAAGAAGAATTCTGAGGTAAATTTTCATTTTTCTCTCTCTCCTCAGGGCTTCAGGGGAGCTTTCACACACGGTCCTCAAACTTTACCGAACTAAATAGGGACAAATGAATATGCGTGTCTCATCAGCAAGGAGTTCCCCTCATGTAATCTGACAGGCCAGAAAGGCAATATATATATATATTTATGGATATATGAGCAGTAAGCGAGCGTCAGCCAAAAAATATTCCCCAACTGTTTACCTGGCTGGATTCCCCTCAGCGCGCTCTCCTCTTTGAAATCCCGCCCTCCGCGCCCCATTGGTTCGCGTGTCTCACAGCTTTCCCGTCTCCGCCCTCCTATTGGTGGATTTTCCCGTCACTCCTCGCGGCTGCCACCACAGCCGCTTTCCCCCCTCCCCCCTCACCACACTCTTTCAAGCTTCCTCAGAGCCGGCATACCCGCGACATCCCCTGTCCACGCGCCGCCGGCTGGCTCCGGATTGGCCGCCGGGATTGTAAACACGGCGAGCGGGCCAATGGGAGCGCTGTTCACGAGGGCAGCACGAGGGGACACGAGCCGGCCGCATGGAGCAGGCTGAGATCAACAGCGGAGGGGAGGGGGGGAAGCGGGCGCGGGCCGGTATAAAAAGGGCGCATCCGGGTGGAGACCGCATTCGCCAAGCGGCCACCGAGAGAGAAGGAGGTGGATCCTGACGCTCTGGCATTGGCTATTACCGTTAACGCTTAACTGGTTTGGGACAGGGCTTGTCAGGAGAGCTTTCTCCAAAAAAAAAAGAAAGGAAAATTTAGGGATTTTTGTATTTTTTTAAAAAAAATCCTAAAGAGAGCTTAAAAATCATAATTCGCTCAATTGAGGTTGGCAGGAAGGATTGTCAACCTTTGAGGGACCTCCTCGGACCTTCCATTTTGGGGCGACCTCCTTGACCCGCTTGGCGGTGGTTTTTTTTTTGGTTCAAAGTTTACCCAGCACGCCCACCTCAGCACACCTTTCCCACGAGTCCACCATGGTGGTGTTCAAGAAGATCAAGACCTTGGAGTTGGTCTTCAGCGAGGAGGGCAAAATCTACGGCAGCGGCGAGAAAGTGGCCGGCCGGGTGGTGGTGGAGGTGGCCGAGGTCACTCGCATCACCCAGGTCAGCATCTTGGCCCGCGGGGTGGCCAAAGTGTGGTGGAGCAAAGGCCCTCAGCAATGCAAGCAAGAGATGGAGTACCTGCGATACAATGACGTCCTCACCTTGGATGACCACCCCGTCGGTGAGCGTCTTTCAGCGGCACTTTGGCTTGAATTTTTGGCTGCTTTGTGTGGATTTAGGGTATTTGGAAAAAGTCCCTTCCTAGGCTAAACCCCCAAAGAACGCTTAGGATCCAGGTTGGATCTCGTTCAGTGGCAGGAGCTTATTCAGTTTGGGTTTATTTGTGGGGCCAAGACCAGTTGTGGTCATCTCTACCACATGGGTCTGACCTCCAGTGAAGCAAGTTTGAAGACAATAGAAAAAGCAGGGTCCTATTCTGAGTGGCATTTCGGCATTGTCTTGCTTGGCGTCGCTGGGCATTGGGAAAGGAAGCGACAGAAGACGCTTGGGAACGGTGCAGGAGCTAAGTTTGTTCCAGCAAAAAGAACAAAGAGAGAAGGGGTCATTCAGTGGGGTTTTCTGGGTATTAACATCTGATGGAATAGAATTTAGCAAAAGCTGGTCTAAAGGTCTTACTTTTCCAAGATCCTCTGTGGTCTTGGAAAGTTGCATGCAGACAGAAGTAAGCTGGAATGTCCCAGTTCTAAAGTTATGGTTCCCGGATCCTATGCATGCTTACTTGAACTTGAGACCTGCCGATGCACTGAAAAGGGTCTTAATTCCCAAGTCAGGGCTTCCAGGAACGGCATGCTGCCTCTGTGGTGCGAAGATTGGCATCACGGAGGCGCCAGCTAGAAAGCGATGGGTAATTTCAGCGTCTGGGAACCTAAGGTGGAGAACCAATAATGATCCAGTAGGGTGGTATGCCCGCTTTGAATGAATATCCGTCGCGAGGAGTAGTAATCTTGCTAAGCAAATTTCAAAGGAAGGCTGCAAGTACACGGTGTCCCAGCAGATCCTTTGCATGGACGGGGTGTGTGTGTGTGTGTGGAACCTGGCCAGCTGGGAAGTCTCTGGCAACCGATGTAGTAACCGATAGTGGTTTCCTCACAGGAGGCTCCCCACCCCAGTGTGGTGAGTGCTAGGCTGAGATCGGAGCAAGTGACAAGTGATGGGATTTCAGGAGATGTGAAATGCCTGAAATTTCTTAAGATTGCAGACTTCCGCCGCTTGCCCTTTTGAGTTTTAATGAGGCAGGTGTGGAGAAAGGAGGAGGAGGCAGGGACCTTCATGTCCCACCGAAATGGTCCGTGTCCAGGGTGGATAAGAAATTCAGAGGCTGAAATGGTTTTGCCTTTTGCATGTTGCTGGACTTCAATGTTCTTAAGGTTTAAGTCTTACCTAGATCTCTCTCTCTCTCTCTCTCTCTCTCTTTTTCCTGCTCTCTTTCTAGATGGAGATGGTTCTATGATCCTGAGACCAGGGAACACCTATGAATTCAAATTTGGATTTGAGCTGCCTCAAGGGTAGGTGTCAGTCAAACATGGGTATCAAAACCCAGCATGTCAACAGATGTTTGAGGGTTGCTTTTCTGGCTTCTTGAGTCTAATAAACGTTGTCTTCTTCCAGCCCCCTTGGTACCACCTTCAAGGGCAAATATGGCTGCGTGGATTACTGGGTGAAGGCGTTCTTGGATCGCCCATCTTTCCCAACCCAAGTGATCAAGAAGCGCTTTGAGGTCATGGATCAAATTGACGTCAACACACCAGACTTGATGGTAATTACCGCTTTGATCTCTCTGGGTCAGTGGGCAGTCAGCACCTTAGACAGGTTTACTGTTGCTAATTGGCCCTGTTTCAGTATTGTCTTCGTGGGTTTTGTGCCTGAATTACAAGACTTTTAAGTCCTTGACATGTTCCTCTTTCTTTTTAATTGGTAGCTGTTAACACTTATTCAGTGTTCTGACAGAGACTTCTGTTTCTCTTCACCTTTCATGTGAAATTGTGTCTAAGGGTTTCCCGTTATTCCTTGAACCAGAACGCGTGTAGCTAAATGGAACTGTGGATTAAGCTCTAAATGAGGGGTAGCAGAATGAAAGTCGGGCCAGGGACAGAGGCAGAGTCCTGAGAAAAGAGGATGATGTGTGTCATGTTCTCTAGAGCCAAGTTGATGTGTGCCTTCTTGAGTTTTTCGTTTCTGTTATGTAACCATATCTGTTTCTGTGATTCTTTACAGTCTCCCATCTCTGCCAAGAAGGAGAAGAAAGTGTCATGTATGTTCATTCCTGATGGCCACGTTTCTGTCAGTGCCAGAATTGACCGGAAAGGATTCTGTGACGGTAAGCCTTGACTTCTTTCCCTTTCAGAAGCGAGGGAGTTGGTTGGGAGCAGCGAAACATATGTGTACATGCTATTTAAAAACAACTAGTAGTAGTATCTTTATCTGCTTCAGAAATGACTAGTTCCTTCTTAATTAACCCTGAAATACCAAGTGCAGCTCAAGGGCTGTAGATGGAGAAGATAAAATGAACTGTGTGTGTTTTCAAGGAATTAATCCAGCGCTTGTAAACAAGCAAATGCGTTTGTGCTTATTCAGTAAGTTTCGACATTCTTTAACTGAGCGTGGGGCCCCACCTCTCTTCCAGGTGATGACATCTGTATCAATGCCGACTTTGAGAACACCTGCTCCCGGATCGTCGTGCCCAAGGCGGCCATTGTGGCTAAGCACACGTACCTGGCCAACGGAGAGACCAAAGTCTTCACACAGAAGCTCTCCTGCGTCAGAGGCAACCACATCATCTCCGGCATGTCCGAGTCATGGCGAGGCAAAACCCTGCGGGTCAAGAAGATCAAACCCTCCATTCTGGGCTGCAACATCCTCCGTGTAGAGTACTTCCTGCAGGTGAGGATTCTTGATAGAAAAGGCAGCCCTCCGTCTTGGTTATGCTTCTGTGGATAATTTGGGGGGTGGAGGAGAAATTATGCATGCAAAACCCGAAATTCTAAGCTCATTGAGGCGGATGCACCTTGTTAGATACAGGCAGTAGTGCTCTCCTTTAAGGACAATTTTAACTAGGTGTTTCCAGAACCAGATTTCAATCTTGTAGGTTACCCTGAAACATAGAAAAGGACCTTTCCTTCGTAGCTAAAGGAACAGAGTTCCTGGAAACACATTTGAGATTCTCATTTATCCAGGAGAGATCGTAGCTGAAACAGGCAGGTGGGGCGCTCCTTCCTTTCGCCCTCCTTTTTAACGCGCCTCCCTGGTTTCGCCTTGCAGATCTACGTCAGCGTCCCCGGGTCCAAGAAGATCATCCTGGAGCTTCCCTTGGTGATTGGCAGCAAGTCCTCTGGCATCGGCAGCCGCAGCTCTAGCATGGCCAGCCAGACGAGTTCCGAGATGAGCTGGGTGGACCTCAACATCCCCGACGCTCCAGAAGGTGAGCAGAGCCTTCTCGTTGTGCGCCAAAACATATCGTGTGTCTCCCGGAAACTCCGGGAAGGCTCCTGTTTGTACTCGCTTGAACTGACCTGGATTTGTGTTTTGCCCACAGCACCTCCCTGCTACCTGGACGTTGTCCCCGAGGACCACCGGCTGGAGAGCCCCACCACTCCGCTGCTGGATGAGCTGGACAATTCCTTTGACAGCCCGATTTTCATGTACGCTCCCGAGTTCAAATTCATGCCACCACCGACCTACACAGAGGTGAGACTTCCTGAGCCCAGACCTTGTTGTTGGCTAAAACGGGGTTCTGAGTGTCAGCCTCCTCTTGCCTCCTTCTTGACCTTTGGGGGAAGGGGTTGCGGTGTCTTCTTAAGATCTTATTGACGCTTGCTCGCTGTTTACCAGGGACGAGAACGGATCTGATTTAAGACCTTTATTCACGCATGCCCCTCTGTTTTCCTTCCTTCTCCAGGTGGATCCTTGCAGTGCCTTGAACAACAACGTCCAGTGAGCACGAAGCCAAAGGAGCAACATCACACACGTTGCCTTATCTCCAGCTTTTTTTTTTCCCCCTGGACTTTCTTAACAATTGCACTCGGTTGAGATTGCGCACCTGGCGGAAAATCTCTGATAGAAAGGAGACGGTCTCGCAGTGTCAGGGCGTCTCATGGAAAACCCACTAGCAAGGAGCTAGTGGGAATGGCTATTTTGGGCCCTCTGTCTACCTGCTCGACACAGGTGGAGAGGCAGAAGCCCCCTCCCCCCCGATGGGGCCTGGGCTTGGCTCCCTTGAGCCTTTCAGGACTTTGCAGCCACAAATAAGAGAAGCGCGGAGGTGGCGTTTTGAACAAGGGACTGTGGCTAGAGAGAGTGTTAGCGCTCTTGCAAGAAGCGTTCTGGGGGTGTGTCCCCCCTTTTTTTAAAAGTGGATAAGGGTTGGTGAAAAGCCAGTTGATCAATGGCTTGGAAGAAAATACTACTGAGTAACAAAATGTAATCATCACAATGTGATGGGTTGCGGGCATCCTGGGTGATCAAACAGTGTCTCCAGAGTTGTGACTTAGATAACAAGCAGAAGTTGTGTGAAGTTTTGAGTAGGAAAACACAAGTGTCTCAGTATGTTGTATTTGTCATCTTCCGAGTAAAGGTGTTGTGTGGTGTGTTATTTTTTTTTGGGGGGGGTCATTCTTAAAAGGCTGACACCTTTACTTCGGGGACATGAAAAGAAAGCATGAGGAAAGTCGATATAAAGATACTTGTAGAGGTTAGCTTGTAGGCGGTGGGTGGGTTTTTCTCACCCGCCCTTGGAAGAGAAAGAGGTCAGGTGGAAATAGAAGAGGATGACCAGATGGTAAAGGAATAGGTGTCAATAAACACTCCGTCCAAAGGGGGAACTTTTACCCCAATTTTTCAGTAAGCAGTGGGCTTGTTTCTCTGTTTTGACACTGCTCAGAAGCATAGCTTTTAAAAATTTCTACGAAGTGTTATAGCTGATGTTTGATTCCTGTATTGTTTATTTGTCTACTTATATTCTCCTAAATCTTTAAACAAGCAAAGTTTTTTTTTATATAAGGGAGAAAAAAAATCAATGTTTATTTATCTTGAATCTTTAGTGTTATATGGCAAAACCAGTGTTGATTATCTTGAAGGATTGGGTCGGCGGTGGTCATTGGCTGCCTTCCATGGGGCAGGATCTGGTGCCTTAATTGTGTGTGGCGGGGGGGCAGTCTGCCTTCCCTTTGCTTCCTTGGTATCCGGAGCTCAGAGAAGACCAAATATTTCTAATCCGATGGTGCCAAAAAAACCCGCTTTGTGCTTCCCCAACAAAGCGGACGCATGCTAAAAATATAAAACAAAGACCCAAGACTTCCCACCGGCATGTCGAACCAACATGGGAAGCATCCTGTTTCAAAGCTGCCAATTTTCCCGCAACACACATCCAGTCTTTTCAAAAACAACCAATTTGAATAATCCCTGGTAGCTGACTTAGAAAAATGCACTTCTTCCCCCCCCCCCAAAAAAGAGAGAGAGATAAATTGTAATGTCACTACATATTCAAAGTGTTCATTGATTCCAGATTTTGTTGCCACGAATACCTTCTGGATCACAAGATCCTAAGTGACGGCTGGACAGAAATTTGGGTGCACTGACTCTCTCCTCTTTTTGTTCTTCTGTGGTTTTTATTTTACTGTTCGCTTTTTGTATTGGTTTGTAACTTTATTATATTTTGTACTGTTCTGACTCTAAAGAAGCCCCTTTTTGGGACAACGTTTCTAATAAATGTTCAAAAATTTAAATTTCTTGGAATTCTTTTGTCTGTTTATACTGGGCAGTGGCTACAGGGTTGGGGGTAGTGACATGGCTGAGAGCTGCCGTTATCGCCCCTCTAAAAGTGCCACCACTTAAAATAGGTCGGCAGAACTACATATGGTTGGCAGAACAGAGGCGTGAGTAGGGTGGAAAATGGGGGCTAGAGGGGGTGGAAGGAAGAGACCCTGAAAAAGACTAAGCTGTCCAATTGTCATTATTTTGAAGCAGCCTCTCTATACATCCATGAAGGAGAGACTTAATAAGCAAAGTATTCCTGTCTCCTTCCATAGGAAGAAGTTTTCATGATGAGGATTTCTACAGATTATAAGGAGCCAGTGTCACATTTGGATGTTCGATGAGGAGTTGAGAGGGTGGAAGCGGGGTAGTAATAAAAATAATAAATAGATCATCCCCTTACAACGACAGAGCAGGAAGGGACCCCTCTGGATCATGGAGTCCAGCCCCTATCAAGGAGAGAGGGGGGAAATTCGAACTCTCAACCTCTGCCTCTCAACCAAGGAGCGCATCATGGAGTCCAGCCCCTATCAAGGAGGGGGGGGAGATTCGAACTCTCAACCAAGGAGCAATCCAGCTGTTCGCTGTTTCAGCTGCGCAGACAACCTTGATCTGGTTTTGCTGCCTCTCTGACCCTGACAAGCAGGTTTCTAAGGATAAGAGAGTGTGAGCATAACTGGGTCTGCTGATTAGCTTCCTATTAGAGAAGGGTAAATGAAAACATACTCCTTCGAGCGTCTTGACGCCCATATGGTCTCCCTAAAAGCCCGACCCAACTTTATAGAGCCTCCTTGGTCGTGGTGGTGGTGGTGGTGGGGGGACCAGAAGCCTTTGTTTTCCACAGCTGGCATTTATCCCATTAAAGGGTAGTTCCAGAATGAAACCAGACAATCGCTTCCAGTCATATCAAAAGTTCATCTGGATATCCACAGTTACTTTTTTGCACCGTGGTGATTTTTATCCACCTCGAAACCAGGCTCTGCGCTCGGATCTCGGTGGTGATAGCGTGGATTAATCCCTGTCCTCGGCCTCTGGCTGCAGGTCGGACTGACTCTCGGAACGAAAATTCGAGTTCCATTGCCATTTGCTATTCCCACCTTAAGTGCAGGATTTGGTTCCCCCCTCCCCCCCCAAAAAATAAAGTTTACACACTAGGAAATTGAGGCTATTATATCTCTTCTCAGATACCATTTGCTAAGCTAACCAGAGGCCTGGGTGGCTGTGTCTTTTTTTAAAAGAGAAATTCCTGCAGACTTCAATTATTAAGGCCATTACTAAAAATAGACAACCATTGTTCATTCTAAGGAACAATCAGGTGGTATGAAAATAGCATGGGGAAAAAAGGCTAAAAATGTAATGCCACGCAATAGGGGAAACCAGCAAAATCATTAAAAGGTCTTGAAATTAATCGGGGGGGGGGAGGGTAAGACAGCTTGGTGCTGGCTGGATAGCTCAGAGGGCTAAGGCATCTGGCTGCAGAGGTAGAGGTTGGGAGTTCGAATCCCCCCACTGTGCCTCCCTTAGGTGGTCTTAGGCAAACTGCTCAGTCACCCAGGGCTTTCGCCCCAGAAGAAGGGGAGTCGAAACCACTTTTGAAAACCCTGGAAAGGGTCGGCAATAAGTCACACCTGACTCGACGGCGCACAATTATTATGAAGGGAGTTTTGCGATTTCTTTCGGAAGGGTGGAACCATCAACCGTTCCAAAGAGCTGCGGTGCAGCTTATTAGCAACCTAGCCACCTATTTCAGGGTTGTTGACATGCAAAGCCCTGCTGTGTTCCTCTTTTTTAAGGAGAAAGTTGGGATTAAGGAAAAAAATTAAATAAATGAATAAAAAAAAAACACAGCTTCCCACCTGGGTACTCACAAATGACTTATCGCTTTTGGGGGGGATGTAATTAATTGATCTGCACCCCATCCACCCTTTTCCTTACACACACACACACCCCTCTTGCCTATTCATCCACATACACAGATTTACAGTCCTTAGAACCAGCCTGCGTGGATGTCGTTATAATCTTAGAACGGCAGAACTGGAAGGGGGCCCTAGAGGTCATCAAGCCGAGCCCCTATCCTGGAGGCACCGGGGGGGGGATTCAAACTCCCAACCTCTGGCTTCCCCATCAGATGCCTAAACCACTGCGCGACACTCTACCTAACCCCTTTGTGCCCTTAGCCAGAGTACGTGAGGTTCTGGGTTAGACAGAATACTTCATCCAGCAAGGGGTTCACAAAGAATTGTTTGTAAACCAGCTTGGGATTATTATTATTTTTTTCCAAAAGATAAAAGCTTATTTTCCATCAATTCTAAATAAACGAAAGTTGTGTGAAAGCAAGGCGGACGCTGACATCGCTGAGACCGAAATTCGCCCAGGGAGATACGACCTCGTAGAGCTTTCTGGATACCCCTGGACTGCCAGAAAGACAAACGAGCATGTCCTGGACCAAATCCAGCCTGAACTCTCTCTCTCTGGGGGCAAAAACATTAACATTGAGGCTGTCCGACTTTTGGGCACTTCATGAGAAGGCTGGATTCTCCGGAAAAGACCATCGTGACGAGAAAGGGGGAAGGCAGTAGGAAAAGAGGAAGACCCCCAATACGAGATGGACGGACTCACTCAACAGGCCTGGGTTTGCAAGAGCTGAGCAGGGCTGCTGAGGACGTAACAACACAATGTTGGCAACAGCGATTAAATGATTCACCCGGCGGAGTCCATAGAAGCACAAAAGTCAATAAAAAAAATCAGAGGGTATGATCTCTGGCAGTCTCAGCCTGGCAACCGAGTTACGGGCGTGCTGCCAGCCGGGGTGGTAGCGAAGAGAAGGCAAACAAGCTAATCGCAGAGCTCGCCCTGATAAGGCCGGCGCAATCTCGCCGCCGGAGCCGAGGGTTGTGGCGGGCGATCAAACGGGAGACAGAAGGACCTGAGAACGTGCCAGATGGATCGTCCACCCGCATGGGATGTCCAGATAAGGGGAACCTGGCAAAAACAGACACGTCCGTACACAGAGCAGCAAAAACAGGCCAGGTTTCGTGACAGATCTTCCTCCGAGCCGAATCTTCCTTTATTCGTAGCCGAGGGACAACTCTGATATATGGGCAAAAACCAAAAAGAAATTAAAACGTTCTGGTCATTAGACTGTTTTGGACCAGAAGCATCCTCTTGGCCATCGGCTGGACCTCTGTTGGCACGTCCGGGCTGCATGGATTGAACTTCTCCACAGTCACAGAAAACGTGTCCAGTCTCCAAGTGGCCTCATTTCACTTGACTAGTCTATGAAGTCGATTAAGCTCCTAAATCTATGAAGTGACTTCCAGACGGTCCAGTCTGGTCCTGACAGGAGACACGCTTTGGCGTTCCTCCATTTGGCAAAGCAGTTTCTGTCTTTCCTCTCCACAAGTTCGGCCTGGCCTCTTCTGGTACCGTATTTAGACCCTGAGAGGCATGGAGAAAACATTCCCTCGGTTTGAGGTCAGAGCCCATCGCATGGATGATGGGTTTGGTGCTGTGCTGCCTTCTTTCAATTCATTATTTGCTGACACCTCCCGGCGTACCTCCGGAGACACAATGCCAGCCACATAACAGACTTTTTTTCCATTGGGGGTTGGGGTGGGGATTCAGGCCACCCGTAATAATCCCGCATGATTCGTTAAGAGCACCATATCTGCCCTTTTGGCAGGTCCTGATACGAGCGGAGCAGGATCCTTAGATTCCCTTGAGCTACCTTAAGGTTCAGCCAGCAACTTGCAAGACAGCAGACTCTCGGAGAGGAGCGGAGAGATGCCGAGGTGCTTCTTTATCTCACAAGCCAAACGCAGGCATCTCGCAGGGGGCTAACGGGGAACCTTGCTGAGTTTGAGAAAATAAGCCGCACCACAACACACGTCTCAAGGAACCAAACATACACACACTCCCCAGACGCAGGATGCGGTCACACTGGCAGGAAGAACAGCATTTAAATCGATGTAGGTTTAATCGTGAAACCGATTTGTATATGACTTTTTCTCCCCCCCCAACCAAATTGCAGGGGCTTTTTGAAGTCCTTCTCTTCTCAAATCCAAAGCGGTTTTGTGGAAATGAGCCGACTTCAGCAGGGTAGACGTCAAAACCGGTTTCAATCACCAGAAAGAAACCGATTTCCATTCAGCGCACGGGAATGTGGCCACTGGTTTACATACCATGCAACTTGAACCTGATTTTTTTTTTAAAAAAAAAGTCTGAACAAAAAAAATTAATTCCAATTGCCAGATTAGCTCAGCGATTTACACCTCTGGCTGGTTGGGAGTTTGAATCCCTCCCTGTGCCTCCTGGAACAAGGGGTTAAACTGAATGATCCAGAGGGTCCCTTCCGGCTCTGCAGTTCAAAGAGGATGATCCTTCCAATAGTCACCTCTTCAAGCTCTTGTGGTTTATTTTATTTTTACACGATGATGACGTCCTTAGCTTGTCGTAAACCCCCCAGAATAGGGCATTGCACGAATGGGGCGGTATATAAGTTAAAGAAATAAACGAAGAATAATAAATGTGACTTCAGCCCCAGCCGCGTCCTGTCCATGGGGTCCTTAGCCAGGAGATCGGGGTTTGTGGGTTGGAGGGAGGGATCGGTGCCCCATCCCAAACACGGGGATTCACAACCGTATCCTAACAAAGCCCTTCTAGGTCCAAACGCCGGGCGCCCAGGCGGAGC